GTTATATCTTTCTGAGGCTCTAATCTAATATGCACAGTTATAGACATTCATAGTGTTAATGGTGACAACACTGAGAATAACGTCAGGTTCAGTGACAAAACTGGAAATTAAAGTAAAAGGTTATGGAAAATAATAAAGATAAGATAAGATAGTTCAAATATCTCAGTAATCAAATTAGTCACGAATCTTGTAGAGATAAAAGTTAATCAATACAATGGACGAAGTGGTCATCATCTAAGTTCATGCTTTATTAATTTACCGTCTGTCGAAGTAGTGATTAGCTGGAAAAAGATAAGCAAGTAGTATTGATATCATAAGTTCTTCTAATTGTTCTGAAGTCTTCATTAGGAAACTTCCTAAACCACGTCCTTACTGAACTAAGGCTTCAATAACAGTCATTTCTTCTTAGTAGCAAGTGGCTTCATATTTTTTTTCTAGGTCAAGCAGATCACACAGATGAATAGTGTTATATGCTAGATGGAAATTCGAACACAGATCGTGTTCCACGATCATATCGAATTCTACATTATAAACTGTGGTCAAAACAACATCACAATGTATACGATAAAAATCTAGCATGACGTTACATAACACCACATTATCCAAATTTGAGAAGTATACTATCCAGTAACTATTTTAAATTTTTTGCAAGCTATTTTCATATATTTTCTTTTAGTTCATTTCAACCACTGCATTGTGTATGCTATCTAATTCTTTTGCCAGAGAGCCTTTCCTGTTTTGAATTTACCGTAGATGAGTACAAAACTGAAGAAATGTTAATATTGCCTTAAGAACCTGATACCTAAATTAGTATTTTCCCAGGTAATCTATGTGCTTTCCTTGTCAACAGAACATTTATAAAGCACAGCTTGTTCTCAGGTTCTTCTACTAGGTAGAGAAATGTGAACGGTACAAATCAATACATTTTTCTAACAACTAGCATTTGCTAGTGTTATGATCAGTAATGAAAAACTTATTTTTAATTCAACTTTCTGATGGACCACTTGCCAAACAAAGAAGAACAAGTCTATTAACAAATAGTTCAGTAGAAAACCCACAATTATTCCATCCATTCATTTGTAGAATATGTTGATGGGCGTGAAACATTTATTTATAGAATGACCTAGCATTGATCCCCTGCAGCTCAAGACAGTTTTTTATTTGGTAGCTGTCAACATATAAGTTTTGCTGTCTCAGTCAGTGGTACACTGATTAGTACCGAAGAAATATCCACACCAGACACAGTGGTTAGGACTCTCGCCAACCATGCACATGGTCCGAGGTTCGATCCCCTACCGACGAACAACTGATATCTATGGTCGGCCTGCAAAATTGGGCTACCGATATCCATGCTGAAAAATCCATACTTGTACCAAAAATACAGTGTGGAATCAAGCTGTAATCAAAAATAAAAATAATAATAAAAATATCTGCTTAAAAGCATTTGAAGTCATGGACTTAATAACCAATTACTAAACGTGTCTAGTAATTGGTACACCTTTGGTCAAGGTGTTTGGTCAGTCTATTAGATCACAGAGCCCTATAAAATAACCTGAATCCCATCGCAGTTTTTAGCATAACGAGATATCCTTTAAAAAACAATAATGAGTAAAGTAGTCTGAAGTGTTTGAAGGATTAGCTCACTACCACTGACAATTAGGTTAAAGATGACGGTCATAAAATACAGGTATTTGTCTGCAAATGTAATTTCACATGTGCTTACACACTGTACTGGGCTTCAGCTTTCATACGTATTCCATATCTATGTTGTGGTATATTAATTCAAGGAAACAGAGGAAATTTAGTGGCAGCAAAATGCAATAAAATGGATAAGAGATGGGGTATTTGAATAAGGCTAGTCAATATACCATTATATTACCTAGACTTCTCGAAACTTCGAGGTCCAACGAAAACTTCAGAGCATTTCAAAATGTGTGAAAAACAAAGGTCATGAAAATAGTTTCACTTTAGCCTTACAAAACAAGTGACTCACCTATTATCCGAACATTATTGTTTATATTGATTACATCTATGTCTGTAAAGGCAAAAAGTGAGTGGATGATTTCCTTTCTTCTAAATCTAAACGTATACATCCCAAATTTTTATTGCATTAAGACACGATATTTTATTTGTAAGAAACATACTTGTAAACCTCACTAAACACATAACACTCATAGCATTACAATCGCTCAAGATCCTTTAAAGATCAATTGGATAACGAGGAGGAAAGACATGAATTGTGTTACAAACAGGACAGAAAATCTAAACTTCGTGTATCAGAATTGAATCAGCTATACTTGTTTTCACTGACAGGTAAAAAAACTGATCTTAGGTAATTTCTCAGGCTATTAATAAACAGAAACAATGTTGCTATGTTAGAATATGTTCACATATTATAGACGTTTATTTTTAATAGCACGATGATGTCTTGAGCGCCAAGCATTGACAATACTCTCCGCTGTTTTTCATTTAAATTTTTAATATATCCGGAGTAGTCGTTGAATTATCTCCATCGCTTAAGTCTCATGCTGATTCAATTAACAAGGACTGAGTCAGTAAACTTCCTCTCTACGCCTAATTATATCAGTTATCGAAACTTTAGTCACAATCTACTTCACTGAATAGTTATATGCAAGTAAATGTATTGCAGTGCATGGGCTTTCACCACGCCACTTATTCACCATAGTCAACCATTCTACCTGTACTTAAATCCCTATGTTCCGATGACTTAATGAATCTCAAGCTAACTGACTGTCATAGTCAGACTTATTCACGCGTGAGAGAGAATCGTATGAAATACCGTGTAGTGGTAGGTAATTCCCCAGAAATATTGCACACAGCATTCATCAATGAACATTGGATGCCGACCCTCTCTGTTTAAGTCAACTTGTTTAGCTGAAGGCTTCCGGTCAGGCATCCACACCATTTGGTACGCTGTCGTGCTACGTACGTTCGTTCGTGCACGGTCCCTAACTATTTAAGTAATCATCTCGCACTACCATTCGGTCACGAATTATAACTCGCGATTTGGACGATCATTTCTGGGGTTTTGCTTTGTCTTTTGTATATGCGGAACGAATACGATGGAATTTGTGTGTTAGATCTTGCATTTGTATACTTCGTACTACCCATGAAAGTCGATACCTTTATTCTCTGGAACCTCAAGGCTAGTGACAGTGACTTGCAAACTGACGCAAATATATTACCTCGATTCAGTTCACAGCTGGCCGAAATTAGGCACAGACGTTTGACTTAGTTCCATTTAGCAGTGATGATCATAATGGAATACCTAAAACTGAAATATATGCAAACACGTTAAGCATTGAAGAACATTTGACAATTTTGAATGGTGCTAAAGTTCGTATAAGACAGATACGGTGACTAAATATCTCAGCTTACAATGTCTCTGACGAAATATACCTGAATGTTGCACATATTTCTTTCTCAGTTATCCAGAAACCTTAAACCCACGTGTAAAGTAAAATGAATTAACGCATGTAAATCACAGATATTGTGACAGCATATGATTCCAAAATAGTTTGAACATTGCGATCCGATAGATCACGACAAAAACGGTGTGCGTGAGATTTTTCGCCTGCTGAACCCTACTATCAAATGCAATTCCACGTAGAGATAGGGAATGAAGTCAAAATCTCCCCCAAATGTGGCTTCTCTACGAATTTCTGTTCGATTCAACTGTTTTACGGAATTATATCTAGGATTTTCCACTTAGTGAATTTGACTTTCAATGACCAGTCTAGACTCGCGCTTGTCTACGACTGTGGAGTCAGCTAATAAATGACTTTTTTAAACATCCACGACATGAAGATGCCGAAAATTGTAGCGTGTATATAGTGATGCTTTTCACTGAGCATTTCACGGTGTAATACTGTCATTCGCAAACCTATTTAACCACCGTTGCTTCCTATTGAGGCTCCCATACCGGATGGACATCAATCGCCTTATATTTAGTGCATCCTCTACTACTGCTACTTAATATCCAATCTCCGCAGACTAATTTCGCCGCCTAGAATACACACATCTACAAGCTGTCAAATGGCTCCTCTCTATCTTTTCTCTTCAGTCTACGAAAGCCAACAGTACTCAGGAACCCTATTAAAGGCTTTTGCTATGTGGGTGACGTAATCTACTGTCCACAAACACAACAACGCAACTGGAGTTTTTTAGCCCTGTATACATGACACCACCTACTTAAGCGAACTACGGGTAAACAAACGGAGTACATCATATAAATATAATAATAAGACAAGAAAACGACGAAGTGAGCTACGCATTCCAATGATACCCATTGTCTTTCGCACACTGGAAACTCAAATTGTAAATGCACCATTGAAGATAAAAATCCATATAAGTCACTGAATGAATCACACGTCATATGTGGGTGTTACCTGTCTTTATGCAGAGCCACTAGTTCCCAGTCGTTATACACAAGAGAAGCTGCAGCAAAATAGGCAGTCCTAGAAGACAGAAAAACTTACCAAAATTGGCAGACAGAAGTACCACACGTCAGATAAAGTGCTGAACTAGCATCAATATTTTGACACGGAACATACGGTATTCTAACGAATCCCCCTTCCAAAGACATCTAAGGGATTTAGATGATCCCCTGGTGTCACTGGTGTTTAGATAGGTTATATTCATCAGGCTCTCTAGTTGAGGACGCAGTACTTCTCCATTTCCCCAGTCCTAAGCCTCATAACATCCACCTGCTTACCTCTGTCTACAAATAAAGACAACGACAATACGTTAAAAAATGAACCCACTCTTTCTTTAGTTCAGAGAGTTGCGCCATCCTCAAGTATTGTCTTCTTCAAGAAGAAGATAAGGAAGCACAGTAAAGCGATAGAAATAAATTAAGATGCGTGTAGAACTTTGTATTCCTACTCCGAATTCGGTATCTTCATTACTAAGCTGAGTTTGTTTTAACATTTGACTTTGAAGGCTGAGGTCAATTAGCGCATGTAGCGCTAGATGTTACGATGAAGAGTGTAAGGGGAAGTGTATCTCACATTGTGTTTTAGAATACCTATTTCATGTGACTGGTCAAATTTTTATTGCTGAGCATAACGAGAAGTACTAGGTAAAGTACCTCTACCACACTTGTATGTTACTAGTTGGTGTTAAACACATATGATATGTACTACAGTAGCAGGAATGAAAGCCTTAACCGTTGGGCGAAGTTAAACGATAGCAGCCACACTGGCACTTGACTTTAGAAAAGTAAATAGAGTTCAAATGGTATAAACATGGCAAAGCCACGCCTTCAGATTTTCATTTGAATGACCTTGAGATGACGAATTACGTTTTAAAAACAAAATAAGGCGACAAAGAATGTATTCATGGAGAGAATTTTGAATGCACTTAGTAGGACACATCTTCCAACATTTGATTTCCTGCTTTTATAAGAGGCATTTATGTTCACTTAAAAGTCCACCTTCTCGCTTAGGTATAGGACTTTTTAAGGATGATAACTACCACTTATATCAACTCAAATTCTAATCGATCGCTTCCTAGTTAATTCACGGGCTTCTTTGTATGTATCTCTGTATTTTGCCCTGTACTGATTTTTCTGACTGTTTCCATTTCTCCTATCTGGAAAGAGGATCTGTTTAAGGAAACATGTCCTTAATTACATGCACTTGTTTATATGGTCCGCCTGCGAGGGTTGTAACATATCTAAAATGAATTTTGGTCACTTCCATAATTGAAGTTGACGCTTAGTTTATATTTTTTGTAACAAACCAACATACTCTACTTCATTTCACCGAAAAATTGTCGACAATATCGGGACATGCCAAAATCTTAGAGAATGACATGGTATTTAATTAGTCTCGGCCAACAACCTGTGTCCAGCCCTCAGGATGCATTAAAAACATTTTGACTAGTTCTGACCTAGTGCAATCTTTGAGAACTTAACCTCAGTCTTAGGTTTGAATCCCTTTCAATAATTTTCAATTTTGGATTCCAGTTACTGTTGTCATTGTCCACGTTACTGTTATGTTTCTGTAGACAGTATGTTCTTTAGAAGTCGGAAATGTGACTGAGAATTATTTTCCCGCGTGCCATTTTTAGCGATCATTTGATTATTATCGACTCACTTGTGAGTAGGTAAAAGTATTCTAGTCAAATTCAATATATAAATCCTGTAAATAATTTACAAAAAAGTTATTAGGGTTCTCATTTGCTACTGCCTAACTCTAGCTTCTCTTCTCAAAATTTCTCATGTATTCCCTAAATGCAGCTTAACCATATTACTGTTATCACTAACATCTCCATCGGAAAATAAGACAGCTGATAAAACTCACCCTTTACCTCTATAAACAATTTTCCCTTATCTAATCAAGCACTCATTTTCTGTCTCGGTTTATTGTTGCCTATGCATCAGAGAGTACTTATAAGGTAGCCGAAGAATCCCTTGACTTGACAGGGTTCGACGAATAACTACACGGTTTTTCGTTTTTGTGCCTCAGATACATTATTCCCAAAGCCGGAGATGCTAAAGTCTCAGCTAGTGACACCCATCGTTGGATTTCATGCAAGTTTCAGTACAAATTCAGTAGCGTAGTTTTAAGAGAATAAAAACTGTGGTTCTCTAGCTCAGGTCACTAGCAATCGTCACCGACTCAAGATGAAGGAGCTAGTTACCTGTCATTAACTTTGAATAAAACGAAAGTTCACAGACTTGATTTTTTTAACAATAAAATCAATATACAAAGAAGTACTGTTCACTAATTCCCTTCAAGGAAAACTTAACAATACTCTCTCCTTCAAGCTTTTACTTTTGTCAGTCATCTACAAAAAATTTTTCAAACTCCTACATCACAAACTAATTGAGTTATATGTGATCCCATGCAGGAAAGAGTGTTTCACATAAGCAACCCACTGAAAGTGAATTACTCTGTAAGTTGACAACATATGCAAGTGTGCAACTGATAGCCAATTCGGTTGTGTAATCCTAAGTATGTGGGTCAAAATCTGCCGACTGGATGTTTTAACTAGTCTGAAATATTTGAAATCAAAAGGTTAATCTAAATTCCTCGCTTATTAGTACTCATCAACAGAGTGTATCACCTTAAGGAAAATTATTGGCTTCTTTTCGAAGCCATTTCATAGAGAGTTAAATGTAACATCTGAAGCTTAGTAATACAGTCTCTGATTCCACCACTGATTACAAGTCGATTAACTGAACTCTCAATACAGAACTGCTTAATACTGATGCATTCAGCAATATTCACCACTGGGAATAAACGCTTGGAACACTAACAATTAACAGTAAACCTGGACAGGCAATTTTTAATGTGGGTTTGAAATGAAAATACTGTATGCAGTAAATACACTAATTCTAACACATAATAACTTTACTGTTCTATTTACAAATATTTTCTAGAAACAAACTAATAATTCAGATGATTTAAATGATGAAGTTGGTGAGGAATCCGACACAGACCTCCCAGTGGCTCTCAGTTTTACACAACAAGCTAAACAGCGCGAGTTACATCAAAAGCAGATCAACAAAGCTATTATTGAAGCACGTCTAAAAAGAAAGGCGATTCGCAAGGCTAAACATAATAAACAGGGACAAACAGTAAGCAAAGCATGATGGAGATATTGATTTCCCTCAAATCTAATAGGTTCATCATCCCAAGGATAAAGAGGTTGATGATGAAGTTCAAGTAGGTTTTTTTTTAAATTTGAAATATTTTATTCTTTATTAAACTTAGTTTTCACCACCGAATGAACAGCAAAAGTTAAAGGTAAGAGTGCTTGTAATTTGCGCTATTTATCATTGTAAATAGGAAAAAGATCCTTTAGAAGAAGAATTTAACTTCCCAGGACATTTCAAAGCATCAGACCACCTTCATTGTGAAGAAGCAGACGATGATGATGGTGATGATGAAGATCAGTCTTCTGTTCATAATGAACGTTCGTTTTCGGATATAGCTGAGGATAAATCAGTGTATGGCAATGGTAAGTTGACTTGTTTGCATTAGTTTTTTGGATCCACATTGTATTGTATTGCTTAAACATGTGAAAACTACACGGGATTCTGCTTTCATTCCAACCTATGGTAATGATGTTGGGTGGACACTGATAAGCTTAGATATTTGACAAAAACTGGTTTGCCATGACTGCGTAGTGAAGCAGTTCACTAATTCCACCGAATTTAGTATTTAACTTGATATCACTTTGGAACAAGTGTGAATTTTAGTAAATAATTGTCTCTATTCTGGTAGGTAGTTATCCGGCTTCTAGCGGGAAGTCGTAACCAGTAGGGTACAGTAGGTCGGGCGTGAGGACAAATACTCGCCACCGATGACATTGGCTAGTGGTCGCGGTATATCGTGAATTGCCAGAAATCAGAATTCATGTGCTAGCCATTGGATCGGATCCCAGTGGCGTGATGGTCTACGAGCTAGATCGCCTTGTAACCGAAAGGTTCTGGGTTCTAACCCTGGTGAATGCATACTGATATGGAATCCAAAACTAGGACGAAACGACTGTCCATTACTCCCAGTCGGTTTTCCAGTGGTTCTCTAACTGATGTCAGCTCATGATGAAATCCTGTAACCACTCAATCAAATCCCTACAAACCAATACTTGATAGCAGTTTATTGGTGAGACCACATTGATATGCTACTGGATATTAAGGGCATAGTCCATTGGGTTCTGTAGATATCTTATTTCTATCACAAAGATCAGTAGTGGAATCAAATTTGTCCCTAATTGTTTTTTCTTCCCCTGCCCATGTAAGGACGATATTTGTTACTGTCTCTAATAATAAGTAATAATAATGCTTCGTGAACCACTATAGATCTATTTTCTAGACTGTGAGTCACATTTGTTGCATATAGGTTTGTGATACTACTTGGTTTGTCCAGATTGTCTTAGGTCTAGGAGGAATTTTACCCCCTAAATCTTTGCTTAAATATACAGTGGTTGAACCAATAAGTTATGTTGAAACTTACAGAGTTGATTTCATACATTACAAAGATATTGTCAAAACAATTGCTAAACACTTCGCTTTCAAAAAATACATTTCGTCAAAGTAGACCCTTCATGTATATTATTTACAAAACATCATCTCATATATATCGGTTTGATTATAATTTAGAAATGAGTTCTTATCCACTTTAAGGCATATCACAAGCATTTTAGGGTATGCAACAATAATTGTCTAAATATGAAAGAGAAACAGCAATACAGTGTAGATTCTGTAAAAGAGAAAGCCTATCATCCAAACAATCTGTACCTTTCAAAAGTAGATATAAGAAAGTAGCGTTCATGGAGAACGTATTTCTTTTCATTTCCAAGTCACATTTCATAACACTAGGAACTATGAAGTCCAATGATTTTGTGAATATTCACTATTAAGGTACAATGTAATTGGAGGTAGGCGCTAATATAACGTCAAAACACAGAGGTATTTGGACAAATGATGTACAGTAATGGCAAATTGTAAAAGCTTTACATTGAAACTACAGTTTGAAAAAGTTATTCGGATTCTGCTTCTCTTATATTCACTCCATGCTTCGTGGCAACTCGAACTGCTGCACTTCGGTGCCAAGTTCTATGTTGAATCCAGACAGACAGACTCCATGCTTTCTGTATTGTTCCACAGTGATCTTCATTTCCTCTCTTTACAACTGTATGCGTTGCTCCGCTACTCAAGATTCTCGCAAGAGACGTCACACAACATGCTACTTACAAAAGGTTGTCAGTAACACTTGTCACATTAGTACTGTCGTATTGGTGGTAGTCTTCCCATCTCCGTCTATTACAACCACTGAGATCATCATCACTTAGACAGGTTTAAGCCCTCATAACCAGTTATTTTGGGAACGATCAAATGAGCAGTTGTCATTATTGAACTATATCATTTTTATAAAATTAACCGGCACTTGATTGCAGGTGCATTTCGTCTCAGTTTGTGATTTGTTAAGGAATGATGAAAAATTGGTGCAACTTTACAGCTCAATATCGTAGATTTTAGTAAAGACCTATAGGCGTGGACCAGTAAGCCACAGATCTACATAGACTGTTTTTTACTGACTATAAAAACATCAGAGAGAAAGAGTCTGTGTCTGATTGGATGATTCATTTCAGTATTAGAGTTACACTTTTTACATGTTTCATCCAGACAGCAGCTGTTAACAGAAATATAATTAAGGATAGAGAGGAAAATGAAAAAACCTAGTTATTTGAATGTCCGTTGTTCGAATGCTGTCGCGATGCGGATGTCATTCCACCTTCAATCACCATCAGTTGCATCAGAAATGGTCTGCCACTCTGAGACTATCTCAAATAATTTAACCATCAATTAAAAATAAGCAGTTAACCCTGAAGAAAGTGACCATACTGATGCATGAAATTAACTCAACAAACTTCTTTTACACTAGGAGTCATCAAATGTTACGTTAAAACTGTCCTAACATTCTTATCTGTCGATGACTACTGTGATGTGAAGCTGTTTGATGTAGATTCACTATAGCTTTTGTTGGGGTATAGAAAAATTGTTTAGAAAAATACAACCCATCAGCGAAACAACGTTGTGTACTACATCCTAAAAAATATTACCTAACTGCCAAAGGTACATGGAGTAGTTTTGAAACTGTGACAGATAGGAAGACTAATTCATTCAAAAGCTTTCAGTTGGCTGGTTTTCAAGGATTTTGATTGACTTCGAGATTGGTGATGAATCCTTCAACCAACCACCTGGTGTACCCCACTAACCACAACTTCCTACTAGAGCCTCATGCGAATTCATCCCGTAGTTTGCTACTAGCGAGCTCTAACGTGTCGGTCTGCAAACCAGTAGGGTCCACCAAGTTGGGTGTCAGTGACTCTCTCTCTCTCTCTCTCTCTCTATATATATATATATATATATATATATATATATATATGCGTCGGTAGCACAGTGGTTAGGACTCTCGCCGACCATGCACATGGTCCAGGGTTCGATCCCCTGCCGACGCACACCTGATATCTATGATCGGGCTGCAAAATTTGGGCTACCGATATCACATGCTGAAAATTCCACACCTGTATCAAAAAATACGTAGAATCAAGCTGAAATCGCATACTTGTAACTCCCTTCTGCGGTCTCTGGCTAAACTGAATTGACTGATCACTCTTTCGTAGAATCAATTTCCAGATTGTTGAGTTATTTTTGTAATTATTCAACAAAATCATTAAAATTCGCCCAGCTATGTTATGATTTTCTTGTGTTGATATTAAATTATTATTATTTTTTCCTATAATTTCCATAATTCATTCATTCCAGAATCCGATGAAGGATACGACGGTAGTGAAGAACAAGATAGACGTAAACCTAAATCAATTCTGTTTGATGATATCGACTCGTCTACTGTTGATCCTGATGATGAACAAAATTCTAAAAATTCTGATTTAACCTCATGGGATCATAAAACTTGGAAGAAGATAAATCGATTGAATGGGATTCATGTTCGTATTTTAGACAGTGCAAATATTGAAAGGACAGCTCGACAGACATGTAATAGTTTTAGACAGAATCATTTATTTTCTTCTTCATACTCTGGAAGATATGGAGATGTAAAAAGAATTGCACCAAATACACTGAGAAATTTGTCAAGGAAAAAGAAAGCATTAGCTTCAGGACGATAGCTGTTGAATTAATATATTTGTATATATTATTTTGATATTGTTGTTTTTTCTCTCTCTCATGGACTTAACCCTAAATGACTTCAGCGACTCATGGATTAACTTGTTATCAGGGAATAATCTCGCCGACCATATAGTCCTTCATTCTAGGTGAAGACGCTGACAAAATGTAGAATCTTCTGAACACCTTGACAGACAGCAATCTTCGAATGTTTGGCATGCAGTTCGCTCCCGCCAAGTGTAAGACAATGCTACAGGATTGGATTTCATCGACTGCTAGTTTAGAGATAGGGAGTGAAGTGGTAGAGCGCGATGACCACTTCACTTATTCGGGAAGTAGCCCAGCCAGCCCCAACGGGCTGATCGCTGACGAGATCTCAGTTTGAATACAATAAACTAGTTTCACATATGCCAGTTTACACCGTCCCTGGCGTATACGTGATATCCGGCTGTCGACAACTGGTCGTGTGTACAGCTCAACAGTTCGCTCCGTTCTCCTTTATGGTTGAGACCTAGCCATTGAAAGTGGAAGACATGAAAAAGCTAGCTGTCTTTGACCATATGTGTCTGAGTTCTATCTTCTGTGTCAGATGGTACAATAGGGTGAGCAATGTTGAGGTTGCGCGTCGAGTGCTAGGTAAGGAGAGGAAATCAGTCGACGAGTTTGTGAAGCAGCTGCATCGACTGAGATAGGACACGTGTTACGTATACCTAGGCGTCGCCTTCCTCGACGGGCGATGTTAGCTGATATACGATGGATCAGGTTGTAAAAGAGTCATCGGTGGTCAAATGAAAACATGGCTCCATCAGTCAATCAAAACCAAAGCAGTTAGTTTAAGCCAGTCAGTCACATAGGTAGGTGTAGACTTCCTAACCGGTTGGGATCTTTGTAATAGTAAAAACTAATGAAGGCTGGATACAATTGGTGATATGGCTCAAAATCGTTCTCAATGGCTGGAGCAGATGCATTAACCCTTCGTGATTGATAATGCCCAATAAAACTATATTGTTTTTTCATATTAATATTTTTTGCCTCACTTACACTTCTGTTTATTATCTCTTCTTACCTTGTGTGATATATGGAATGTGGCATCTGCACATCGGTGCAAAGTTCTGCGTCGCTTGAAGTGACGTGACGAACGCATTTGTGTTAATCAGATTTTGCTCCGTGAGAGTTTTCTGAAAATCATAGCTTTTAAATTGATTACAAGCTTCTCTTTCCATGCTCAGTCGTCATTTGTGATAGTGACATTTGAATAAGTTTGTTTTAGGTGATGAATCTAATTGGACTTCTCCTGATCCTTTGAGTTTGTAACTTTGGTTGGTTTATTGACATAGATGAATTTCAGCTAGTAGATTGTAATTCCATCTTCTGGCTACTGGACTGGTGTTTAGTATCACTAGTTCTGGTTGTAGGGAAAATACCAACTTAGATATAACTAAACAAAGACTGCTTGAATGAAGAGGGAAACACTGCTTTTCAGGTAGCTCCCCCTCTACTTCACTATACTTTAAAGCATTTCTGAACAGAAAGTAATAACTGGGGGCGAGTACGTCACCATCCAATCACTTAATCGAAATCTGAAGTGCTATTGTCTACAATTCGCAGTATAGCATGCCACCACTAAGTGTCATCAATGAGTTTTTAAGTTCACATTCCCGCTTGAACTTCAACCTGATCTTCGTAAATATCTTACATGAACACACAGCATTTTATATAGTATGGGGTTAACCGGTGGTAAGTTAGCTAACAATAATTTAGCTGCCTAAGTGAGTAGCAACTAAACAGGAGAACTGTAACAATTGTTATGAATTAGAGAGAGCTATGTTGTAAGATTTCGAAAGTTAAGACAAATTTTTTTCTAATGGTTTTATACATATGAAAACAGTAGATGAGTGAGACTGTTGATCAGCCAAATTGTTAAGAACAATCTAGAAGTAATCCAGTGTGCAGAACACAATTACTTTGATGCTCGGTAGGACTGGCTACATGAGAAAAACTGCCTGGAGTTCTAGTGAGAAATCGTGACCGGTAGGATCCACCAGGTCGCGGATGTGAGGACAAATACCCACCGACGTTACTGGCTGATGGTCACGCTGAACTCGTGAATAATTAGAAGTAAGGATCCATTTGCCATTGAGTCGGGTTCCATTGGCTCAATGGTCAACGAGCTTCCCCTGTAGATAGAAGACCATTGGTTTGAACCCTGGCGGTGGGTGCGTGCTACCGATGAGCCGCAAACTGGGACGAAACAGCTGTCCAGTACTCCGTGTGTTGGTTTTCAGATATCAATCTGTGGTCAAACTTGGAACAAGTCGAATCCCTACAAAATAACTTTTGAAAATTAAAATATCTCAAGCAGTGTTTATGTGAAAGAATTCCTGGTAAACACCGAAATTCAAGTCGATCCTGTTGTAAGAAAAATCAATTAATGAATGTCAGTTTCAAAAGTTGCTGTACAGCAAAAATTCTCAACAGTTAGGTGGTTATATTTCTGACAGGACAGGAAGAACTTCCTTTCGACTTACAGGATTGTCTTCAACAAGTATCTGTAGGCCGATTTCAGTGTGTTTATAAGCTTACTTCCTGCCTCAGACTTTGTTACATTTAATATACAGAAAGTCCTTCTACAAAACATGCAAAGCCTAGGAAATGAGTGTAAATTAATCGAAACTCGAGAATAACTGAAACTCCACTAGGTTTATCCTCCAATTGTCAAGTCAGATATAACCGAAAGAGAAGAATTTTTCGCCGTAGGTGTATTTCTTTCCACCAGTTTAAGCTGGGTATCTGCATGCAAAGCGGCATGTCTACTCCTCTTTTCCTCCCTTTTCTTAACCTTCTCAAATACACACCAGTTGGAACATTGCTTTTGTTGCTGAAAAAACTCCTTAAATATATACATGCAATTGTGCAGCTTGAGAATGATATTAGCTGAATGCATTTTCTTTCCTATAACTCAATGGGAATGCTTAGTTAATAAATATTCATTTCTACTACTTACTCTACCAGTATCTTCCATGACAATCCATATTGTAGTGCCTTCATAGATTATTCTTTATACGAATCACTCTATTTCTTTTCTAGTAACATTTTATCAACTTAATCTAAACCTTGGGCACTGTGGTAGTCAGTAATTCCATATTAGTTTGTTTATTAGATGTATCACACAGTCAGTGAAACAGTATTATTTACTGGATGACACGGTTTCGAAAAAAATGTATTGTTCATAATCATATATTCAGTTATAATCACACGACTTCGAAACTTCAGTTTTATAGTTTTCTTTGTCTTCTCCTATTTGTCATAGGGGTAGTAAAATTTTCCAGATATCTGGGACAGGTGCTGAATCATTCGTATTACATGTATTCGCAGTTGATTCAATAACACAAAGCTTTCGTTATCAATCTCTCCGTCCACCCTGTTGTTACATTAGATTTTAACTGTCATCCTATTGTTGTGTGTAACCGCATGTAGTGCGATAGCTGCCAAATACGACAAATAGAATAGGACAAAGAAAACTATAAAACTCAAGTTTCAAATTCGTGTAATTATAATTAATATGATTATAAACAACAATAAATTGTGTTCGAAACTTTGTCATCCAGTAAATAATACTGTTTAACTCTGTGTGATACATCTAATAAACAAACTAATATGGAGTTAATCTTGACCTGTTCCTCAATCATGAATTACTACTTTTTTGTGGTAACTTCATACAATATTGTATAGCCTTAGTAAATGACATGGAAAAATAAGCGAAATTCCATTCATTTCCACTCTCTGTCCTCCGTGTCATTGCACTTAAAATGGTTGGAGACAATAGGTGACATGGCTCAAAATCGTTGTCAATGGCGCAGATGCATTCAGTCTCCGTAATCTTTTATATTTCTTCCTTCCATTACCCATTCTGTTTCGCTCTTATACTTGTCAAACTCTATTGGTTCTCTTCACTCATCTTGTCTGCCTTTGTGTGCTATTTGGAACGTGGTAACTCGAACTGCTGCACTTCGGTGCCAAGTTCTATGTTGAATCCAGACAGACTTAAAATGCTTAGAACAATTTGTAATAAGAAACAGCTAAGTAAAGAAGGCTGTGACTCTCAGCACTGTCTGAGTCGTCGATTGTGCTTAAAGGCATTTTAGAAGACTTCATGCTTAAATAGTTGTGAGAATGACACATGCATACAAACGCTATTATATGATGGTATTAGATGGTTGTAGGCAATCGGCAGGAAGCTTTGGACCTAGGTTTCGTGCTAGTTGGCACTCGTCAGCAAGGCGTATCTGCAAGCTTGAAGGAACTCATGTCCCTTCTGAGATTCGAACCCGCGTCACCCAGTGAGTGCTGCAGTCAGAGACGTTACCACTGAGCTATTCGGGCCCGCGATTGACCTCCTGTAGTGGATATTTTGATTTGACACTAGTAACTAGTGTGATGCGTCTAGTCCTCTGACTGGTGTAGACTGAATTCTATCAGTCAGGTTGTAATGTGACCACCATTCTAGCTAGCTCGCCATCACGGTGCACATTGATCTGATGGTATTAGATGGTTGGGGGTAATCGGCAGGAAGCCTTGGACCTAGGTTTCGTGTTAGTTGGCACTCGTCAGCAAGGCGTATCTGCAACCTTGAAGGAACTCATGTCCCTTCTGAGATTCGAACCCACATCACCCAGTGCTGCAGTCAGCCTCCAACCATCTAATACCATCAAATCAATGTGCACTGTGATGGTGAGCTAGCTAGAATGGTGGTCACATTACAACCTGACTGATAGAATTCAGTCTACACCAGTCAGAGGACTAGATGCATCACACTAGTTACTAGTGTCAAATCAAAACGCTATTATAATTATTATTATTGAAGCATAAATTTGGTACATTATGGGCATTAAGAAATGCTCTACGCGAAATCTCATAGTTCACACGAGGGTTGTATATATTGCCCAGACCTGAGTGGGTGCTTGTCTCAGGCAACCATCTGCTCCTTACCCGAGCCTTTGGCTTAAAGTCTGATCCACAAAGCATTGGGACAAAGTTGGGAGCTGCATTCCCATGGTTTTCAGTGACCAAAACAGATTCAGACGCCGTTCGATCGTTTTGGAGTCTGGAGCCCATGTATATCATAGGTTTGACGTCATAGTTTTCCAGCTACCCTAAGTAGACCGCCATGTCTACCAGAGCGGTTGTAAGCACCAGATGTTCACATTCACCCCTTCAATTTTGTGAGGAACACGCCCGCCGCGTTAAAGTAGTGAATACAGCGTACAAAAACAAATGATAAACGATCGCAGTAATTGTTTACTGGATTTCATCATGAGCTGATACTGGTTAGAGAACCTGTTTCGCCCGCCTAGTTCGGGACTCTTCATTAGTACGCACCCACCGGGGTTCGAATCCAGGACCTCCTGGTTACAAGGCGAGTTCGTAGACCATTAAGCCACTGGGACTCATGACCAGTAGGGTGCAGCAGGTCGAGTGTGAGCACAAATACTCGCCGAAGACATTGGCTAGTGGTCGCGCTATGTCGTGAATTGGCAGAAGTTAGAATTCATGGGCCATTGGATCGAGTTCCAGTGGCTTAATGGTCTACGAGTTAGCTCGCCTTGTAACCAGAAGGACCTGGGTTCGAACCCCGGTGAGTGTGTACTGAATAAGAGTCCCAAACTTGAACGAAACAGCCCTCCAGTTGGTTTTCCAATGGTTCTCTAACCAATGTCAGCTCATGATGAAATCCTGTAACCAATCAAATCCTTACAAACCAACACTTGAATACATGTTTCTTCATATTGCTGATTATGATCTTAGTAGCTGGAATACACGTTGATCGCTGCTTTTTTTATTGTAGTTATCAAGTGAACACGGCACAGTGTAATCTCAGGAATCAATACGCTTAACACTACCCTTCTCACCACCCCATCTAGGTGATCACAGTGTTAACAAGACAAATAGGAAAACAATTGAAATATTTTATATTTTTAATATCATCGTATAAAACACACACCTTAAATGATAAATACATAATCCATTGCCGAATAAAAATAATTTTTGCCATTGTGTACACAGAGATATAAACACATAATCATTTGTTTCTGTGCGTGCGTGTGTGTGTCAAATAACAAAAGACTATTATATTGATTCATTGATTTCAGTGTGAATTAAGGAATACAAAAGTCTAAGTTACTGACTCTTTCAATTTGGTAAAAAAACACAACAGATTGGAGTGTTTATAATTCAAGCGGTACGATTCAAATTTTCTTCCAACCATTCATCTGAAAGTTCGTCTAGATCTCTTAACTCGAACACCTGTATCATCACAATAAAGTTGCTTGTACAAAATAGAAATTACCTTTGTCACTTCACTTTTATGAGTTACATTTGTAAGACTTGCAGCATACATCATTTGAAGATTCGGAGGTGATCCTATAAAAAAAGGCATAAAGATGTACCACGAGACCGAAAAACTACAGGATGAATCCAATTATGAAAATATATTAGACACACACATCAATTTAACAGAAACATACGCTCTGAACTACTAACCAAGGGTTAATGATGACAATAGGTTTAGTGAAATTGGACAAATGATGCTCACTAGCGATCGACCCCATTCAGGCAGTGACCTGGAGTTCTAGTGGGAAGTCGTGATCAATAGGGTACAGCAGGTTGAAGATGAGGCAGTAACTCGTCGAAGAAGACATTGCGAAGTGGTCGCGCTATGTCATGAATCGGCTGAAGTTAGAATTCATGAGCTGGACATTTGATTTGGTCCCTGTGGCTTAATAGTCTACTAGCTCGCCTTGTAACCAGAAGGTCATGGGTTCCAACTCTGGTGGGCCCGCAATGATGAAGGGTCCCGAACTAGGACAAAACAGCTGACTGTCCAGTACTCACAGGTTTTCCAGTGGTTGTCTAACTGATGTCAGCTCATGATGAAACCCTCCATCCAATCAAATGAAGTTAGGTCACGAAATGCAACTTACTTATTGAAACCTCAGTCCCTAGATCCGTTATTTATTTTATTCCTTTGCATTCAGAGTGAAATATAGGGTGTCAAGATTGAACTTTGAAATCTATGTGATAAAACAGGAGTTGCTAGCCCCATGTCCAACGCGTTTCCTCTTTAACAGGCTTACTACTGACTAGTCGAGGTTTAGGAGTAAGTAGGCTAGAGATCAAGCCCTAGGTGCATGATCTCTGTTAACTAAAAACAAATGAATGCAGAATAACTTGATGCGCCTATGTCTTTATTTACTTGAGGTGTTGCATCGTTTCGGATGAACTGGCCACTAACAAAATCTCCCCACGAGCACGAAAAGCCTTTCCAGCATTTGTCAACATATGTAATCTTTGACACATGGGATATCTTCCTACTCCTGAAAGGCAGTATGTAGTCCACTGTGTCCTACTCTCAGGCTGCAACATGAGGAATATAAGGAAAGATAAATGGTTTTTGATCACCAATGCTACGTGGAGTAACATGATAACTAGCAACACAGTTAGATAAAGATATAAAGCCGATCGATAAGATGATGAAACTCCACTGATTGAGAAGACTACAAAATCCTGAGTCATGCCTTTCTTGGAGACCGATGTTAGCTGGAGTAAAACTAAGTTGGGAAGGAATTAGTGGTAGAACGTATGAAATAACTGGATTTTAATCTAAACCTTGTAGGATGTCTGGTTGAGATCCTCAGGATGCTTAAAATTAATGGATGGTGATATAATTCAGAGTCGTTTACAATGCAACAGATATACTTACTCATTGTTAATAACCAAATTTTGTAAATCCTCACTAATCCTCATGTAATTACTTATATATAGCTTCGTTTGTTTTGGCTACATTCTATTTCATTTCTCTGCTCTCCTATGTGATTTCCGAACTGTAGAAACTTGGCGTGTGATATACCTACGTGTACAACTACAAGTTGATAAGTTTATCAAAAAACCCCCAAACTAAGGCACATGTATCATATAACAACCAAAAGAAACAAACGAATAAAAAATCAACTGAAATAATAAATATACCTTGTGGAGTTGAAAACAATAAGCAGTATGGAAATGATACACGACCGTCGTGCTTTTCAAATCGGTAACTTAAAAGAACGTATCTGGGTTGATGGCTTGGCAATGCATCTTTAAGGCTTTCCAATGTAGTATCTTCCTAAATGGAAAAATTGTTATCAAAATGTGTTCTATTCAACTTCAAAAGTGTCTTCTATTTCAACTTTTAGAGTCTCTTTATCAATTTTTACTATAATAATAAAATGAAAGGTTATCAATAATTCAGTGAAAAGAAATTACATGTAAGAGCGATTGTGTTATTACATTTTCGAAATTTGAACTTTTTTATACTATCCAATGTATCTTGAGACATATCTGCAACACGCAGTTCAGACTGGATTTAAAGTACATCAAATTTTTGTGAATATAAATTACCATTGTTGATATCCTGAAATCAATAAAAAAACAACAACAATGTAATAATTGGTTACAGGATTCCATCATGAGTTGACATCGATTAGAGAACCATTGGAAAACCAACTGGAAGTACACTGGACAGCTGTTTCGTCCTAGTTTGGGACTCTATCAGTACACTCACCGGATTCGAACCCAGGATTTTGTGGCTAAAAGGCGAGCTATTTATCTACTATGTTGAAACTTGCGCTAAGGATTACAAATGACACATATTGTTCCAAAAGTGGAGAGAGTATCTGACTTCACAAATGTTAGTACGTAGAATATGTTCTGAATCAATAGCTTGCCGGTTGAAATTACGCTACAGTTTTAGTATTCTTATTTTTAAACAAAAATTACTTAGAGTATTTTAAACATCGGAGTATGTATAGAAAATCTGCAAACCTCCAAAGTAATGTAACAGGAATAAAACATGAAACCAAATCAACCACATTTTATATTTGCAAATTTCGAGATCAAAAATCCACACTTTCTAGAGCTGTGCTAGTAAGGATCGGACCATTTAAAGTGTCTTTCAACTAAAAAACTTGTAAGAAATAAAGTACGAGGATGTATACACTGATAGTAAATTTTGACATTGAGTCTTTTACAAATCATACTATTTGGAAAATATGTAGTTAACTGGTTTGAAGATATGGAGTGAAGAGATTTAATGTTCCAACTAACAGACGAGCAACGCCGAGATTTGGTTGGGAAATAGATATAATACTCCAAAGACTAACAGCATATATAGATGTATTGTGTTGTTTATAAGGAATGGGTAATTAACTCTAGGTTACAATGAATATAAAGAACCCAAGGTGTTACAAACCAAGTCAAGTTATAACAAAACTATTCACCCTACAGTCCATATTTATTTTTAACAGTAATTTACAAGAATATGAATAGAATTATTAGTTTGCAAAAAAAAATGGTTGGTAGTAAGCATGTAGATGAGATGCCATGTACTAAAATAAGCCTTTATTAAAGCTTATCACATGACTGTCACCTAAATTGGACATAAGTTATGCAAACAACTCAACACACCACTTTTGACTGCGTCCTAATAAGTGCGAGAAAGCACCTGAACTATATCGACCAAAGGGCGGGTGTACTGCTCATCAGTTCGCTCCGTCCTCCTTTATGGTTGTGAGACCTGGCCACTGAGGGTGGAAGACATGAAAAGTCTGGCTACCTGTCTTTGATCATAGGTGCCTGCGCTCTATTTCCCGTGTAAAGTGGCATAATAAGGTGAGCAACATTGAGATTAGGCGTAGAGTTCTAGGTAAACAGGGGAAATCAATCGACGAAGTCGTGAATTTACAAAGACTGAGATGGTTAGGACATGTGTTACGTATGCCAAGCCATCGCCTCCCTCGACGAGCAATGTTAGCGGATATAGGGTCAGACTGGAAAAAAGCTAGCGGCGGTCAAACAAAAACTTGGCATCAGTCAATGAAATCCACAACAGTTGGTCTAAGCCACGTAGGAAGGTGTAGACTTCCAGGCTGGGGTCCTCGGGACGGTAAAAATCTATGGTTGGAAACAATTGGTGACATGGCTCAAAATCGTTCTCAGTGGCGCGGATGCATCCACTCCCTGTGACTTATGATCTCCAATGAAACTGTTTTGTATTTCTTTATTACTCCTTTGTCTCACACCTCTGCTCACTGTTTCTATTATGCTTTTCTTGTACTTTCTTCTCTTGCTTCGCGTGCTACACGGAGTGTGGCGAATTGAACTTCCGCACATTTGTGTATAGTTCTATGTCGAAAACAAACAGACAGACAGACAGACATAGTTCATTCACTGCGTTCATTACTATTAGTAATTAAAGAAAACAAACCAAAATGTGTAGGAAGTTGAGAAGTATGTGAATTCTTTATTACTACAATTTAGTGAGTGTTCTCTCTATTGGGAATGCACTTTTCTACATATTCAACAAACCAAGTAACAGTTTCTTCGGTATATTGCAGCTCTACTTAGAAAGCTACTTCAACACTCAATATAGGTTATCTACCATAATATCGTTATTACTGAAAAATGAAAATACTATACTAAGCATGTACAGGCAAATCGGAGCAAGTCTAAACAATTCCTACTGAGTAATTATGCTATTAGCACAACCGACCGAGATGAACAATAACATTATTATATATTAGTATTAATATTAGAATAGTGGTAATTTAAAATATGAATATGGTACCGAAACGATTTATTTCCATTAGAATACAAAATACTGACTTGTGGTAAACTACTTAAATCACAGTCAGTCTTCAGATGCTTTTCAACAAATAATTTTAGTACTGAACCAAATTCCCTACAAAAGACTTTGCACAGTGCCAGTTGAACTCGCCTTACTTTAAAAAGTGGTAAAGATAAAAGAAATACACGGAAGATATGACAGACAGAGTCGCATCATCCTGGAGAGATCAAAGGACGCACTGGATACAGAACTCCGACCAGAACAAGCTGGATTCAGGAAAGGCAAATCATATTCCCACCAAATTGCAACTCTACGCATCATCATCACAGAACAAAGCATGGAATGGCAATCAAACCTCTACCTCAACTTTATAGACTTTGAGAAGGCCTTCGACAGCTTTGACCAAGAAGTAATTCGGAAACTACCCGAGTACTACGGCGTGCAGCATCCAAATATTCATCAACCTTATTCAACAGTTGTACCACAACGGCACACGTCAAGTCATCCACAACGGAAAACTCAGCAAGGTGTTTGGAGTAAACACAGGAGTCAGACAAGGGTGCTGGCTTATTATCACCAATGATATTCCCAATTGTGGTGGACTGGATTATGCATCAGACAGTGGGAAACGAGAAGACAGGGATACCCTGGACCGACGCGAAGAACCTAGAAGACTTGGATTTCGCGCGTGGATGATCTATGTTTGATGTCACACAAAATCGAAGACTTACAAGTGAAAACCGAAAACAGTGGTGAAAGAAGCAGCCGGCGAAGACAGGACCCCACCCAGGTGAAAATAGACAAGACGGAGGTGATGAAAATAACCAACCAACAACAGCAACATCCAGAGCCAATCACCATCAACGGGAGGGATTTGATAGACGTCACTTCATTCACTTACCTAGGGAGCATTGTCTCAACTGCAGGCAGTCGGAACGAACGAGGATGTCAAATCGAGAGTCGGGAAGGCGAGAAACACATTAATCAACCCGAAATCAATCTGGAAATCTTCATCACTCAGCCAACATCAACAACAAAATTTAGTCGGATTTTCAATACAAACGTCAAGTCAGTCAGTTCTTCTATACGGATCAGAAACCTGGCGGGCGGGTAACAAAGAATATTTCCAACAGCCTGTTGCAGACGTTACCTTTATCAACCAACAAATGTCTTCGCTCTATACTGAATATCAGATGGCTGGACCGGAAAGAATCACCAACAAGAAACTATGGGCACAAACAAAACAAGAACCAACCGCCAACCAACAAATATGCAGGGGAAAGTGGATTTAGATGGATTGGACACTGACTGAGGAGGCCGCTGGGTGACATCGCGCGTCAAGCCCTCGAGTGGAACCCGAAAGGGAAGCGGCGTGTGGGTCGTCAGTGCAAGGGTGACATGGAGGAGACCGTGTGAAGAGGAGTTGAAACAGTATGAAGTAACATGGATGCAGGTGAAAAGTACAGCAGAAGACAGGAGCAAGTGGAGACGTGCAGTTGAAGCCCTATGTTCCACTAGGAACCCAAAGGAGCAATAATAATAATATGACACAACCTGCAACAACAATCACCGTTTTGAAAAACGCACCAACAACGAAAGTATATATATATATATATATATATATATATATATATATATATGCCGAATAATGGCGGTTGTACACCACCCAATGGTCACCGAGAATATTGTAAAAAGTAGTCGCCCAAAGTTATCAACAGATAAAAAAGACAACCTAGCATACCACACTCTGCGCAAGCGATCGTAGTCAAGCGGTTAAAATCAAATCTGTGCACACAGATGGTGAGGAATGTTGATCTTACGTCACCTTCGCAGTTATACTGACAAAAACACATAATCACATCACAGTACACTGTATATTCCTCGGTATCTTATGTCCTGTCTCAGAATTAATCTGGACGTAAATTACCTTCCATTTCTTTCTTTTCGTTTAAGGGTTTCCACCTAATTAACCTAAGCAAATAAATTATCTGGGAACTTAACGAAGTAGCCGCATCTATATGCTTACATTCATATTATTTCTGATTCGTGTTACTAGTCATCCTTATCAATAACTCCCTTTTTACTTCATAAAAGTGTGTTCGAATTAAGTGTCATACGGGCGAGCTCATGAATTCCGTAACTTGGTCAAGTCACACATTTATCTCAGATTCAGATTATACGGACAGAAGGCTCTTGTTACCCATGTTAATCCTTACTACATATATCTCTGCAGAGATCTAGTTTCTCTTTGAAAGCGTTCACCGATGGAGCTGTTACTACTGCATCAGGTAAGGAGTTCCGGTCGTTGACCACTCTGTGAGAGAATCTAAACTCCACACGTATTTTGTTCAACCTTGGTTTGAGCACCTTTTTGTGGTAATCTCGTCAATGTATCCTAGAGAGAGAGAGAGAGAGAAAATATTTGAAAGGCTAATCCCTAAATCACCCTTTAACATACGGTATGTCAAAATTAAGTCGCCCTCTCATTCTTCGGTATGATAATGGGAAGAGATTTAAATGCTCCATCCTTTTGTCATAAGGAAGGTATGAGATACCACTAACTAGTTTGGTTTCTACCAACTGCACTCTTGCCAGGATATGCGCCTCCTTTTTGAATCATGATGTCACTGATTTTATGCAGTATTCTAGATGAGGTCTGACATGTAGCATAGAGTACCAGGAAAACACGCTAGTCTAGCCGCTTGAAAGCCCTTCTAAGTGCCCGTAACATTTGATAAGCCTTAGTTGCGGCTCCATTACAATTTTCCGTTGTTTTTAA